ACAACAGCAACAGCAACGGGAAGAATAATAATAATAACAACAACAACAACAACAAGGACAAGGAAGCGAGCGCGCTTGCCGCTGCGAAGGGTGTGTCGTTTGTCGTTCTTTTCTTGAATATTTTAACCAAAAAACCTGTGGACCTCGATTTTGGTGTGGTGTTCGTGAATCAGACATGTTTTTTGCTGTTTGGACGCTCCTGGTTGTTCGCTCCTGTGTGTTGAATCTGTTTTTGCGGCTTTCTCGCAAAAACCGTGGTTTTCATTGCTTTTCGTGGTTGATCTTTGAGTTGGTGTCTAAAGTTTTTGTTTGCTGTCTGTGCAAAAACGCAAAAACGGTGTGGGTTATTGTTGCGTGTCTCTGTCACGTAGAACGCAACAAAAGCAGCGGGATGCAGCAACATTCTCGTTGTGGCTGGTATCATCATAGTTATTGTCATCGTCATCCTTATGCGTCTCCTCATCGCCGTCATCATCATCAACATGAACATCAACATTTGCCTCGGCAAGATCATCATCAACGTCATCAGCTTCCTGACCAACAACTGTCTCATCATAATCGTCCTAAGGAGCAGCATTCAGACGTTATGAGTATCATCATCATCATGAGCTTGTTGGCCTACTTTGAACCCTAGAGAGACGGAGTGCAGAGCAAGAGGTACTGCTTGCACAGCTCGGAGCGACGTGGCAAGCACAAACGTGACAGCATCATGCAGTGCGACATAAATTCAACAAACAGTCACAAAACAGACTGCGGCCGCCGCAAAGAAGTATCCGCGTTGACATGGAGAAAATCATTGCCATGGACGTTAACATCCCCCCAATCCCCCCACCCCCCCCCTCCCCCACGAAAGCAAAACAAATAAGAAGAAACACATAAGCGAATATCGCAAGCCGCATCGCCCCATCCCCCCTCCCCACCCCCCACGAAAGCAAAATAACATAAGAAGAAACACATAAGCGAATATCACAAGCCGCATCGCCATGGACGTTAACATATCCCCCATCCCCTCTCCCCGAAAGCAAAAGAAAATAAGATGAAAACATAAGCGGATGTCACAAGCCGCATCGCCAAGGACGTTAACATCCCCGACATCCCTCCTCCCCACCTTGCCAGGAAACCTAAAAGAGAAAGAGAAACGAGAAGGCGGACGAAAGCCGCAGACAAAACCAGCCGAGTTGCAAGCCAAGAATGGAAACGGAGCTGCTACTGCGACGACTGATACGAGTGCTAGTGCTGCCAGTGCTTGTGCTCTTGCTAGTACACCGCCTAGTCCTAGTACTAGTGCTGGTGCTAACGCTAATACCAACTAGTACATGGTACTGGCTCTAGTACTCGTGCTAGCACTTGCACGAGTACTAGTACCAAGACTAAAGATGAAAATACTACTGCTACTGCTCCTGTTCCTGCTGCTACGACTACGAGGACAAGGACGACGTCCTTTTCGTCCCGAAGGCTTTAGAGCCGAGTAGCTTGTCTCGCCATCTCTTGGACCGTCGACTGGCAAGCAATGGCAAAGCAAGGAATCAACAGCAAATGACGGAGATCCGAACATCTCAAACATAGAGAAACAGCCGCTTCATCCATAGCAAGGCCCCGCTCGGGTCGATTCATAAAAGGCAGCAGAAGGTGTAATCTATATTGCATACTTACTTCTCTGCTTTCTTATACACCCAGCTTCCCTTCTGCCCCCTCAGCCAGTGAATCCGAAAATCTTCACACTCCCAGCGCTATGGGCCTGCACCATGTTTGGGTCTAAGCCGACCTATGAGCAGCAGTTGGAGGGGCCAAGGTGCTTCTGATTTGAAGTTTAGGCTCTGGCTTTCATGCACAATACATGCCATTGAGGGCTATAACCGGCACACGCCTAAACCTGTGCTGCATTTAACAGAACTGAAAAGGGCTCTGGGGGCCTTTGCACAAATCCATAGCCTAAAGACCTATGCAGCTTCGTCAGGTCCTGGGCCTGCAATGGTCTTTGTCTGGGGTTCCGGGACAGGGACTACTGCAAGCCCTGCCATAACTTAGCATGAGGGCTACTGTAAGATGCTTTCAGGGTCAGGGGTACTACAAGGGGTTTGGAGTGCTTCGCCTCAGCTTGGGCTTGGGGTTTGGACTCTGTGACTCTGGCATAGACCAGCAACATCTACCTATCGGGGCCTTAAGAAATAGAACAGGGCTTGGGGGTATATAGCATGCTATGATTCCAATCGGAACCCTGAGGAATATCCTTACTTTGAGACACGGCTGGTGAAAACAGAAGACACTCAGCCCTCGTGTGCATCAGCTCTTGTCAAGAGTTCTGCAAAAGGCGGGTTTTGAACTCGGTTGTCGGTTTCGGCTGCAGGGTTCCCGACCTGAAGGGCTTCACCACTGAGGGTTTGGGATTCCGGTTGGTTTAGGTACTGGCTGGAAGTTTGATCTAGCAGCTCCTAATTCTTGGCTCTTCGGATGCTAGTGACGCTGCTGCATCCCCCCAAAACAAATCCTCATCCGGAACCAACCTCAAACTGAACTCCGAAATATCCCATGCAACTGTTCCCACTCCAAAGCTCAAACCTAAGCAGCCTCAGCCTTTCCAACACATTTAGTGTGTCGTTTCTTGGCCCCTAAAAGACCGGCGCATGGCCCCACCAAAAAACCTTGACGACTCCGATGGCTAAACCTTAAACCTTACGAACCCGGCTGCGAAACATAGAGCTTTGAATGCCGGTGGAATGAGGTCTGGGGCCTCGGGCATAGCCGACCCCAGTCACTTTTCAAGTGCTGGCAGAGTAATCTTACCCACCCCGTTTCTGTAGTTGCTTTAACCCAGGCTCTTGATAGGTCTCCCTCTGCGATATATTTGTCCGAGGACCTCTTTCACTGCGACCGCCGACGCAGCTTCCGCGGCCCCACCGGCCTCTCATCGCTGCAGAGACGCCCAACAGAGTCCCAAGTATGACCGGGCCTCAGCCCTAGGACTCTCTTTGGGAGTTCAATGGTAGGGGCCTTGCAGCGACCTGCAGCTTCGACTTTGGCTCGCGCAGGATGTGTCAATGTAGAGTGCCTACTCTGGGTAATATTTCATAACCTATTGCCAAACAATCCTACACGATCGATGCTGTGGGGGGAGCTGTGCTATCGAGCTGTACGTCCCTTCGGTTGCGGCTAAGCACTGGATTGCGTCGATTCGAAGTTACTGTCAGGACAGACAGGCTCCCCTAGAACACAGGTTTCGACAGTTTCCGGAATGGTAAGATCTCCTTGCAGCTAGGATGCACACGATCCCATTTGCAAAACCTGTTAGTTACAGCTTCCTCTCTACACCCGTGGTCCCAGCCGGCCAGACCCCGCAACTATCCGCAACTCAAGAGAAGGGGCTTGCGGGGCATATTCGACAAGGGACTGTACTGGTATATTACTATTATGGAATACAAACCAAGGGATCAAAAGAGGAAGTATGTAATATTAGCACTTGTACTGGTAATTAATGGGGCCGCTAGGGTAGATCGGTGACTTGCTGTTCATTCTCCAAACCCAAGTATGACTGCCAGCCTGCGCTGGGGCTGCGCCGGGCATGGCCCCGGCATCGCCAGGCATGGGCTGGTAGTACTGTACTCTCCTTTGCTTCCGGGGCAGTAGGGCTTCGCCTTCATGATGAAGTTCTGGACACACAAGCCAATTGCCGTGTGTATGTATACTTATATACATATGCATGCACACACCCACACACATGTGAGAGAGTTTGTGCTGGTGCGTGTAAACTTTATATGTGTAGTTATGTGTTTCCATGTGTGTATATATATATATGTATATTTGCATGCATGTGTCTGCACATCGATCCATACATACTTGCATGCCTACCTACGTGCATACATGCATATATATATATATATATATATATGTGTGTGTGTCTGTGTGTGTGTGTGTGCGTGTGTCTGTGTGTGTGCGTGCGTGTACATGCACACGAATACATTTGCTCAGCTGCAAACATCTACTTATGCTGTCGTAAACTATGCCAGGGTGGCTGTTGGGGCTGGCCTGGTGGATGCTGGCAAGGACTATATTTCTCCCACTTCGACAGACTCAGCAGCATCTGGAATCTTACCTCAAAAGAACACCACCCAAACCCTATCAGAGCCTAAACTCTACAGCCTTCAACGCCGCACTACTAACTCTAAACTCTGACCTGGCGGGAGGCTGCCCTGCGATCTGCTCTATCAACTTGTTGGCTTCCTTTTCCTGCTCACGGGGGGTTGAAGGGCTTATGTAAGGGTTCTTTGGGGCTCCATCAGGGTTCATTCTGGGTAACAGGGGCTTCATGCTCTCGAAAGAACTGTCTTAGAGCACAGCTTCAACCTCGAACTCGGAGTTTGGACAGGCCTAACTTCCCAAATGCCAATGTAAGGGTTCATGTAGGAATGTAGGGCTTCCCATACCAGAGAACCTCAAACCCACCGCCATCTTCAATGCGGTAGTGCACCCGAGCCGGGCTGCAATAATCAAAGCCCGACAACAGGAAGCTGCAGGTTTTCTTGACGTTGCAGACTCGTCCTACTATTCAGGATTCTGTAGATGACCCGCCTGTGCCATGTGACAGTGTGCTCGTGGGCTACTCTCCTAGTTTATTTCATCATAGCTCGTGTGCATTGCATGAACATAGACAAGGCATCCAGTGCCGAGCTGCTGGCAGAAGTATACCTCTTTGCGCGCCCTTGCGATGGTTTGCTTTCTTTGCTGCGGAGACCAAATTCATGGCTGTAGTATCACAGCCTGCGCCTGCCAACCTCAAAAACCTTAGGAAACCGGTGCATCTCCCAAATCACCCGGATTCAGGCAACCGTATCTTTTGTGTTTGCCGCCCATGCTACAGGAGCATGGAGAGGTTTTCAGGGATTCCCCGTTGGCTGCACCAGAACGTAGGTCTCCGTACTCGACCCCGAGAGGGATGCGAGTTTCAGCAACACCCTCCGTAAACTCCACGTTTCTGGTTTCGGGTTGAAGGACCATAAGCCCTAGACCCGTCGCCCTGAGTCTCCTTGCGGGGATCGCCGCACGCCTTTGCGAGCATCAACCTCGGCACCATCTCAGGTGCAGCTTTGAGCAGAAGTATTGCCATGGCCATACTAGCCGTTAGAGTAGCTGCTAGAGTAGTTGCATAAAAATAACAATAACAAAAACAAACAAAGAATCCTTCATCATAGAGCTCCTCTCCTATTTGGGTTTTATCCTGGGCTCACTCATTGTCTGAAAAGGCCCCCCTTTGGGTCCTGTTGCACCAAGGGTTTCTTGCTCAGATTCCTACGTTAACGTCGAGCTTCGCCATGCTTGGCATCAATCAGATTATTGCACTGGCGGGCAGAATGTTTTCTTCGGGGCCCAGCTACAGACAAAATGGCTGTGTGGACGACTGCGTATATTATTAGATAAAAAATTAGGGCCCTTAAGCGAAGAGTGACATGGCTCTTTGGGGACCAGCCTCACGTCGAGCACTCTCTACATCGCCCCGAAAACCGCAAGACGTAGTAGACAGCCTAATACCCTAGCCTTAGCCCTAAACCGCTAAACCCAAAACGCCACGAAGCCCTAATCTCTAAACCCTAACAGCCTAAAGCCACAAACCCTAAAGGGTCCCAAAACGACCAGTATCTTTGAGGCTCCCATTAACATTAACCCCTAAATACTGAGATCCTGATTCTAGGCATCCTTTTATTGCTGCCAATAGTCGGATCCCCTTTGGTAAGGACCCTCGAAACACGGTTCATAATCGGAAGCCAACCCATAGTAGCAGCAAGTCAAAGAATATCTGGGCTTGGGTCTTCACGGTCCGAGGACCTTTGGGGATCCAAGTTTCGGGACCCAAGAGTGGGGGGAGGAGGTTGGGTTTCGGGTTAGGGGTTTAGGGTTGGGTGGGGGGACTAACTGAACCTGACATAACACCGCAATCGGTATGTTCATAATCGTGTGAACCTGCTTCTTCTGAACCCTTCTCTGCTGAAAAGTTTGAACCACAAGATAGGGACTTTCAGAACAAGAACAATAGCCACGACCGTTATACAATAATAACCGTCAGACTCCGCCATACAGTCAGCTCCCGATCCCGAGCCCGGAATGCTGCACATTGGTGAACATGCTAGGGAATTGATGGACAACTGGATCAGATCAGAAATCGTTATGCAGGGAGGTATCCCTTACCATCCGGTACATGTCCACATGTATGCACCCGTCCATCCATCCATCCATCCATCCAGCCAGGCAGGCAATAGGTCCATGGATGGACGGACGGATGGATGGACGGATGGATTGATGGAATGGATGATGGCATGAATGGTGGAATGAATGATGGAATGGATGGAATGGACAGTGGGATGGATGGTGGGATGGATGGTGGTGTGATGGATGGATGGCTGGCTGGCTGGGTGG